AGAGAGAGAGAGAGAGAGAGAGAGAGGGAGAGAGAGAGAGAGAGAGAGAGAGAGAGAGAGCCCACGTTCGCAAACCACTTCTATAGACAGATGGGTACATTCAGAGCACGTATATCTTAATGATATACGTACTCTGGTACATTCACACCCAATATGCTGATGTTTGATAAAATATGATTTGATATGATATGTTATGATGTTGACCCAATATGTTGACATCTCGCTCGATAGATGGCGCCACATACTCGCGCGTCTGCGGGAGGCGCGCGTTCTCGTGACCTAGGTGTTCGCGATCAACAGGCGCTCGCTCGCTCGCTCACACTCCTCCTTCTCTCAGACTTCTATCAGACTCTGTGTAGTAAACACGTTTAACATGCCCGAGGCTCGCCGAAAGAAACATTTTCTCACCTCGCCACGAATTCCAACGACGTAGTCTTGAATATCGGTGACTCATTAATCATGGCAGTACAGGGCGTTTTAGACTTTTCCCCAGACTTCTGCGTTAGTCTGCGCTAATTTTATCTCGGGGGTAGAAATGTCAAAAATGTCTACCGATCCAGTAGATATTTCTATCGATCGAAACATGTGAACTTATATAACCTAGCTAGTCAATTGGAATTAATATAGTTTTTATTTCTCTTAATCAATATAAATAAATTAATAATAAAAGTTTTTGTTAGAGGCATTTCCTTCATCAATACCTAGCCACCCAATTGGAATTATTTTAGTTTATTTCTCATGATGTTGAAGTTATTGGAGGTAAAAGTTTCTTTTATTAAAGGCAATTCCTGATCAGCTTGGCTCGTTATATGTTAGTTACATCGATAGCAAGACAGGGACACACGCGCGCGCACGCACGCACGCACGCGCACGCACGCACGCACGCACGCACACACGCACGCGCACACACACACACACGCGCGCACACATACCGACACACACACACACGCGCGCGCACATACCGACACACACACACACACACACACACACACACACACACACACACACACACACACACATATTATGTACATGCAGCTGGCTATGGTTGATGTAAATGTGTATCATTGCTGAAGCTGTGCTTGGTACCCCAGGCAGGGGCGTGTACAGGGGGGGGGGTCTAGGGGGTCCGGACCCACCCTGCTCGCGCAGAAAACGCATCTACGGGGGTCTAATTTCAAAAAATACTGGGGAGGGCTCCCCAGACCCCCCCCCCTTCGCGTGCTCGCAAGTTTGGGTTACGGTTAGGCCTCCCCCCTGGTACAAATCCTGTACACGCCCCTGCCAGGCATGGAAGCTTGCTGTGTGGGCAATGTACACCCTATCCGTCAGTTGCTGTCTTGTTGTCTAAATTTGTTGTAATGTTTGTAGTTGTGCCTTGTGCAATATGTGTGGGGCAAGTCCTGTACTTTTATTAGTGATTTACTTGCCTGAAGATAAGCTCTGTCTGTGTATAAAAGTGATTCTATATACATACAGTTCTCTTTGTGTAAATTTTTGACATCAAATACAGTTTGTAGCTGTCTCATACCCTCGTTTATTATGATTGCGTGTTCTGAAGTGATAGCTGCAAGCGTGCTAGTGCAACTTGAATGATGATGGTCAAGATAGATCACTGTTTGTTACCTGACTCTGTACAAGCTGCCCGACAACACATGCAGGTTGTTTGTTTACATCCATGGCTCTAATGTGGGATCCAATTTGGTTCTAATTTCTTAACAATGGTAAACTTTGAAGATAGTATTTTACTAGTTACCACACACATCTGTGCACCCCAATATATGTGTCACGATGTGTGTGTGTGTGTGTGTGTGTGTGTGTGTGTGTGTGTGTGTGTGTGTGTGTGTGTGTGTGTGTGTGTGCCACTAGCGGATTAAGGGCGGGGCAACAGGGGCACGTGCCCCGGGCCCCCCACATTTGGGGCCCCCCACATTTAGAGTATCCTAAAATTTACAAAACTGTCGTAATTGTGATCCACAAAATTCTTAGCATGGAATGTTGAGGTGATGCGTTTCCCATGCTGTTTCTCTGACTGAATTTTGCTGTTCAGCTGAAGGACACTTTCCCTAATACCGAAATTGCTCTGAAAATCTATCTTTCATTGATGGTCTCGAATTGTAGCGGTGAAAGGTCATTTTCAAAACTTAAGTTGATTAAAAATCACATGAGAACCACGATGAGCCAACAGAGACTGGTAAACCTCAGTATTCTCGCTATCGAAAGTGACATTTTAAATTCGTTGACACACGATGAAATACTCTCTGAATTTGCAAGCATGAAAGTGCGGAAAAATACAGACTATAGGGCCCCCACACAATTGCGTGCCCCGGGCCCCCCCCCACACGCTTAGTCCGGCCCTGGTGCGTGCGTGCGTGCGTGCGTGTGTGCGTGCGTGTGTATACATACATATTATCAAGCACAATGTACTACATAATTGTATTCACATGTAAAATAAATGTTTATTGTATATATATTGTACCAAATAATTTTTTGCTCCGTTATTAACTGTTTAACATAGGTTATGCTAGGTTTAATTATACAGAGTGGCTACGCGTCCGGCTGCCGGACGCCCAGCTCCCAGGCTACGCATCCGGTCATCCATTTCACACGAGATCATTATGTGTTAGTAACAAATTGTTGCATGGAAACGTGTGCGTTGCATTGTTTGTGGTCAATTTCGTACAGACTTATACTATTTATTAAACTGCTTCACGACAAAAACCGCACCGGTGCGTATCGTGTATGTTATTGCAAGTGCCCCAAATCTACGTCACGATTAGGCCACGCTGCCGCTCAAATAGTTGATGTTACTGGATTTACTATTGTTTCAAGAGTTACAAAAACATGTTTTTGATACAATACCTAAATGTAAGTATTAATGTGGTAAAAATTACTGTTTAGTCTTTTTTTACTGAAAAAATATAGTTGGGTTCAGATAAGAAATGGATGACCGGACGCGTTTAGCCTGGGAGCTAGGCGTCCGGTAACCAGACGCATAGCCACGGCCTTAATTATATACAGCTTCTAACGGCTGCTTTGGGTTCTGTGTTATTATAATGGCCTGGTTCATTAGTTTATTAGCTATCATCACCATGAGTGAATTCCCATTTTCTCCCTTCCCCCCCAGTAAGTGGGGGACCCCACTTACTGGGGGAAGGGAGAAAGTGGGAATTCACTGATGGTGATGATAGCTAATAAACTAATGAACCAGGCCATTATAATACCCCGGGTAGGGGTAAACAGCTGCTGTTATCTACTGTTGGGTAGTTATAACACAAAACAGTCATTGAGTTGCAAACATTTTATTGTTCAGTATGCCACAAAAGCCGATATATAAACCAATTGTATAAATTAAAATATGATTATCTTATTATGGATATGTGTATATATTCTTTTACCAATCATTTGTCGGATTTTCCTTTTACGTACATATAAGATTACTATCCATTATTCTGTGATCACTACACAAAGAGACATTCAGTGGAGTCCCATTTAGAAAGGAAGCTTGTTAAAGTTTTCTCTGTGCTCTATCCATGTTAATGCATGGATAAATCTCATTCTATGCCCTTTGAATTCATATAATACATGTCACACCTTGACATATAATATGATTATAATTCTTAAATTGACTACGTCACGAATTCTCTATGGTAAAATTTGTAAAATTTTTGTTGCCATTTTTTTACATTAAAAGTAAGAACTAACGGGACTGAACGTATCGTCAAATTCTTACCTGATAAGATTGTTTCTCAACTAATTAAAAATCCAAAAAACCTGGACGAATTGATATTGTGTTCCTGACATTAATTGCTTGCTATGGGCTATGTATGAGTCACGAGTGTATGTTCACATCGAACAATAAATTATAGTAAAATAAGAAGTAGGACAATGTAGCAATTTAACCATAAAAAGTAAACAGAATTACTTATATTTTGTGAAAAAGTGGAAAAAAAACATTTATTTTTACTATTTATGGTTACGTAATCACTTTAAGAACGTACGTATCCATGTACTACGAAATATTATTTGTGCAATCATACAAAATAGAGTGAATTTCCAAGAAAAATTTGTGTTTGCAAACTAAAATGTTTAACTTTTAAATTTCTCACTAATGGGCAAGTCTGTGATTTTATTGAATACACAAAGAGCTTACTTGGCTAGCACAATTTTTGGTGTCTATTTTAGGCTGTAGTTTAGTCTCGAGAAGAAGCGAACTAAAATAGCCAGTGCTATATGCTGCAGATCCAAGCGGGTGTCTTAAATTACCGTCACTAACTCAGCATGCGTTTTTACGTCGGCTAGACGCGTGAAGCCGGAAGATGCGGATTTGGTTCTTCCCTCGTTAACATGATATAGCTGTTATCAGTACGTCTCCACCTATTTCAACAGTATTGATAGAGTCGACCGGGATGCGATGGGCAAACTCGGTGTAGGTCACGCTGTTTACAGTCACCTACAGCCACGAAGAAAATCAACGTTAGACGAGCTAGCACGGCGATAATTGATTATCAATATTTACAGATGAACATTGTAACAGATATATTGGCATTTTATGCACAACTGCCATATATTAGTCACTTGGTCTATTTATATTATGGCATGCTCTGCGTGAGATTGGAGCGAAAAAACGTTGAAATTACCGGGAAAGAGGCTTGTATATCATGAACTCTACCAGGTTGAATAAATTATTGAAGTGCCAAAACTAACGTGTTCATTAATTTAATAATTCTCTACAGTCCCGTGTGATGTCATCGGCGGTAATAAAGGATCCACCGGAGACGGAAGTTGTTTCTTTTGTTGAAATAAAAAAATGCATATCCTATTTCATTACAGTATCCCAGTAGTCGTATACCTATTTGATAACCAAAACCGAACAGTAAACGCGTATTTACCTTATAACAGTTTTCCTCCACGAGAATAGCAATCTCGAAAGCTTCACCAGGGACCAAGTTTGGAGGTACCCCACCCCTCTCCTCTGCGCCCCACGCTCCTGCTTGCAGAGTGTTTCGCACCACGGTTCTCTCATTAAATCGTGGATTGAAATGCAGTGCGATGTCAGGCTGCGGCGTCCCTGGTGGTCCAGCTTGGAGATTGAGCGCAAATCTGTGAGGGGAAAATATGTGCTTCAATAATATTGCTTGTTTTTTCTCGTTATAATTGTTTGTTAGCAGTTTTCTGAGCTGGCCTGATCCACAGTACTGGCAATGACATGCGTCCACTCAATCATCTTGACTTATGGAGCAGAATTTTGGCTTACCGAGGAGATGTGTCTGGTACCTTTCCCCGAATAACAACAGTTTTCCCTGGTGCTAATCCTCCAGGGATGGTACTCGTATAGCTTACTGTCTGGATGAAATGTATGAATAGTTAGAAAAGCAGCAGCAGCAGCAGCAGATGGTACAAAGATACAGGATAACAACAGTGAGCACGCTGTAGGAGGAGGAGAAGCCATGAGTCAGGTGAAGGGAACAGTGAATGAAGTGACGGGGGGTAAATGTGAGTGATGTGAGAAGAAGCAATTGTGAGTGAGCTGAGGGGAGAAAGGAAGGGGGAGTAACACTGAGTGAAATGAAGGAGTAACAATAAGTGAGGGGAAGGGGAGCAACAATGAGTGAGATGGGGGAGTAACAATAAGTGAGGGGAAGGGGAGCAACAATGAGTGAGATGGGGGAGTAACAATAAGTGACGAAGGGGAGCAACAATGAGTGAGATGGGCGAGTAACAATGAGTGAGATGGGGGAGTAACAATAAGTGAAGGAAAGGGAGTAAGAATGGGTGAGATCGGGGAGTAATAATAAGTGAGATGTGGTTGGGGTAATAAATAATCAGTTAGATGGGGGAAGAAAAAGTAAGTGCGGTGACGGGGGGAGAAACAATGAGTGCAGGGCCGTAGCCTGCGGGGGGGGGCAAGGGGGCAGCTGCCCTCCTAAATTTTGGAGCAAAATTAAAAAAATAAATTGATCTACTGAAAGAGAATTGTCGTAGTCAGAATGAAGGCTGTACATCTACTCAAAAGTGCCTCGAATACCATCTCCTGCTATCTACATTTTCAAAATTTTCTGTGGGAGGACCCCCAGAACCCCCCCACCTGTTTCTCACTCCTTCCTTGAAATCCTGGATCCGCCACTGCCCCCCCCCCCTAGGAATTTGCTCAGCCTACGGCCCTGGAGTGCGGTAAGTGGGACTTGCAATAGGTGAGGTGAGTGGGGAGTAACAGTGAGTAAGGTGAGTGGAGTGAGAGTGAGTGAGTTGAGCTGGGGAAGTAACAATGAGTGAATTGAAGGGGGAGAGAAAACGAGTGTGGCGAGCGTATGTTACGAATACAGTCACAACAACCAATTTTTGGCACCCTGTCCCTCTTATGTAGCTTCGTGCTGCAATTATGAAACATATTGCTCCATTTGCTAAAATGCCTCGCTTCGGTGGAACTTTCATCAGTTTCATGTGCTATATTTCATGGAATTTCGTAAAAAATAATACATAAAATACACTACTGCTGCTATTTCTGTGTCAGTGATTAATAGTTTTGCATACATACTCCATTGACGTCCATTTTTTCAAAAATTCCTGTCAGTGTTACTTCTCCATCAATTTGAACAGTTTTGATAGTGTCCACGGGGGTGCGATGGCAGAAATCTATGTAGTGTGCACCATTGACAGCCACCTGTATTTGTAAGTTACCTAAATTCACACATAGACTAAAACACAGATTTCTTATCAATTTACTATAACATTTTTCTCTGCCTGCAAGATTCACAGTAGCAAAAAGTTTTGCTTAGCGTAAATGGTCAGTTAAACGTCATTTTTATATTTAATGCTCGACTCTTGTTTCGACTGACAATTGTAAACATACTTCGAGTCGACGACTCAGATAGGCCTAGCTGCCATTACTGTCCGTGAATCATGATCGTCGAATTTTTTTCTTGTTCTATAGAATCTTATTAGCTAGACCAATTTTAAAGGAAATCGTACAAATATTTTCTCATCTTAGACACAAGTTTTTCATACAACGTACACACATGCGATTTTAATAGACAACATAAATGTACGTGTGAGATCGTGTGATGGTACAATACACAAGCAAGAGCTTGTACGTGGTTTAAATTGATTTTCTAACTGCAATATAAACGTACACTCATTTTAAAATTTCCGCTAAAACATGCCAATAGCAGGAGTTTGAAATGATTGAATAAACCTAAACTGTTGCTTCGTTTCTTTATTATAATTGTTGAGTTTGGTTCGATTCGAGCGGTTGCGAGAATGGTTGCGATTCGGCCTACCTTAAAACACTCTGGCTCTCCCTTAATGACGACTTCGAAAGGTTCTCCAACCGCCAAATTGGGAGGTAACCCTTCATGTGATTCTTCTGCGCCCCACTCCCCATTCACGCAGCTATTACAGACCACATTTCCTCCTTCAAATCGTGGGTTAAAGTGAAAGCCAATATCTCCATCTTGACCGCTCATAAAATTAATAGCAAACCTAAAACAGATAAATAGAAGCACAAAATATTTCATCTATATATAATCAGGTGCTATTATAATATAATGAATTGACAAATCCCACTACCAGTGTAAAGCGCGCACGCGGTTTATTTCTTACCGGCTCGATCCAGGTGGTGGAACTCCCTGAATATACACGAGTTTCCCCGGAGTCAGGCCTCCACCAAGAAGCTCACTAACGTGCGGCACCTCCTAAACGAAACCGGCAAACATCTGTCCGTATACATGAGTGGCAGGAAAGGCACATGCATACGTGAGCTTATGTCACAAAAATGGGGCCCATATGCATTTTCGGGTACAATCTTTGAAACTTTTAGGGATTATATATATGATATTCCTTTATACAAAAACCAATGTTGGCAGATTTGCAAACTCCCCTTATGTGGTGTATTATGCAAATTAAGGCCGCCATTACCGAAATTTCATTTTTTGCCAATAACTCCTTAAATATGCATGATACCAACATACACTTAGTGTCCTTACCTATGTTTTCAAGGATAAGAATTAAGATATAACCATTCCCGAAACGATCGAACCATTAATTAACTCAGAATATGCAAATTAGGTCCCGCCATGACCAAAAATCCATCTTTGTTCAATATCTCCGTACATATACATGCTAGCAACATATATTTGGTGTCCTTCCCCATGTTTTCAGGCGTGAGGATTAAGATAAAAGTATTCCTGAAACGATCACACCAGTACATAACTTTAAATATGCAAATTAGCTGTTAACATTTAATACCGAAATAAATTTATTCTTTGTCATTATCATTCCATATGTCACTGTGTGCTCTGAGATGCTTGGGAAAAACTATAGAGGGGAGTGGCATAGACGATGCTTGGGTTGAAGCAGATATGTACCTACAGTTCTGTGACTGTAAACCAGATCATCAATGGTAATCACTACAGTAGAGCTGTAGAAGCCCATGAGATCACACTACAAGTGTTTTTCGATCTCTGGCTGGAAACGTTCTTCACCGAGAAACCGGCAGTAAGAACTGCACTAGAAGATAGTGTTCAGCAACTGTCAACTGCATGTGAATCCAAACAAGGTGGTCATGATGCACACATGACATTACTTGTTACAATTGAATCTTTCAATCTCCACAAGCAGCTGGCTGCCTTTGATGCAAGACACGGTGGTCATCCCATGTGTCAATGGGCACTCATGTTTATGCGACAAGTTATGACCTTGCTGCAATTCCACCGGTCAACTCGCGAGGGTGATTGGTTTCTACACTTGTCTTCTCTTGAGAAACTATGTGTCTACTTCTTTGCATATGATAGACTTGATTATGCACAGAATACTCCAGAATAGTTCAGGAGAGTTTACCGTAAACAGTTCAAACACGATTCCGTTTACCCGCCTTGGGGTAGACCAAGCACAGGAGCAGAGCAACAAAACCCTAAAAGGCCAGGGTGCTATCAATGGCATAACACAAACTCCTGCTACACTTCTCAAATTCTGCATGTGTGCGCCTGAACTGGCACGAATTGCTAATGAGACTGAAAACATGATCGGGATGATAAACCAGAATAGAACTGTGCATCACCGTCTTAACCAGCCAACAGTGAGGAGGCAAGAGCAAGCTATTGCAAACCTGAGTCGAGTTATAAAACCATGTAACATATTCACCTCTGATGAAACGCACATGTTCAAGCTCATGACCAAGGAGATACTTCCAAAAGAAATAGAGGAGAGCATCTTGGCAACAGAAAGAAGAGGCTCCACTGCGATGAATACATTTGTTGAGGAAAGGGTATGTGGAGACACCAACCTCTGGGACAAGATGACAAAGTGTAAGCCCCTTCTTTGGAACTCGTCATCGAAAGAGATCAAACTGCAAGCCAAGTCTGAGGTCCTAACTCTACGAGCAACCACAGGTCTAATGTCCAGACTACTCATCATTGCTCGGTCATCCCGCGAGATTGACATGGAAGAGGTCATCGGCAACTATGAGTTTTCTACTAGCAACCGCACTTTAATGACATTAACTGGCGGTGTTCATCCAACTTTGGATCAAAGTAAGGTGATAGCCGTTCTTGAGAACATGCCAGACGAGAGAGATGACGAAAATATGGTATCATCAGTTGCATTGTCACCAACAACGAGCAAGTGTCTCATAGTAGATGGGATGGCTGTCGTGCAGGAGCTAATGGCTGTTAGATCCTTTGAGACCTGCCTTGACCTCAGCAATGCATATGTTGAACTCATAAATGCGAAAGCCCGTAACTACGAGGTTACCCGTGTTGTATTTGACAATTACTCTATAACAGGATCATTAAAGGAAACGACCCGAGAACGACGCCGAGGAGGTAAAAATGGCTATGGTTATGGGTACAAGCGATAAACGTCGACTTGTTATGCTAAAGCCAATCTTTAATGCTCTTGGGGAAAATAAAGCTAGAGCTTTGTGCAAATGGCATGCCTTAACGGGTTGTGACACGACAGGACACATAAGGGGTTAATCCAAGATTGCCTGCTTGAATGCATTCTTGAAAGCAGACCCATTTATTGTGGCTGCCATATCTGCCCTTGGAGTTGGAAGTGAACCTTCAGATGAAACCATCAAGGGGTGTATATCCTTCCTATGCAGCCTCTTCTGTAAAAAGGGCGTCACCATTACCCAACCGCAGATCCTTCGGTGGAGTTTGTTCAAGCAACAATTAGGCATCGACAAAGGTGTCGAGATGCTACCACCAACATCTGGAGCTTGGGTACAGCATATTCGCAGAGCTCACTGCCAATCTGCTATATGGGAGCAGGACCCCTATTCCCCATCCCATTGTTCCAGACCCTCTTAAGCTTGGCTGGATACTAGAAGACAACAGATTGGTGCCAAAGTTGTCAGATACTGCTCCAGCCCCAACTACTGTTGTAGAGTTAGTAAAGTGTAGGTGTGGTTCTAGTAAACAAAATACACCAAATGCAATATGCACTTCGGCAAGATGTTCATGTCTAGCACATGGCTTAGTGTGCACTGAACTTTGTTGGTGTGAAGGAGAAGATAAATGCCAGAATAGCAGTCCTTCATCAGGCGATTGAGTCATGTGGTAGGCATGATCCTCACTGAGGAGCATGAACACTGTGAATCATAT